GAACGTCCTCGATTCGATTTGATTAAGTTTGGCTTGCGTCCGGTGTTGCCGATCTATTGGTTTTTATGGTCGGGTCTCACCTAGGATTCCTTGTCGGCGGTGTGATTTTAAATCAGAGACAGGGACTAAACCCGTTGACCCGGTCCTGGTCTGAACGAGCCGGGTCTAAACTTGGGTTGGGTGTTTGGGTCTGAGACTAGACTGGAACAATCTTGGAACAGATCCAGATGCATTTGATTTTTTCTTTTTTAAGTACGAAATTAAAATAATAAATGTAATGCGAAAATTACATTTTTTTTTCGAAACCTTAAGTTATATAATTAGAGCTAATTCTCAAACTTATTCACTGTACATCATCCGATTTAAATTTGATACTTTTTATTTTTATTAAAAAGAGAATATAAATAAATTATGTGGATCAATGACATGCAATGTATAAACTTAAATTGATCATAAAATCAACTAAAAACACTTAAACAAATAAGAAAGTAAGACAATTCTAAACAAATATTTTATTAATTTCATGTGTGATTTTTGACATCTTATTATGACTATTAAAGAAATAAGAATAAAATTATTCTTAATACTTCTACAAGTTGAATTTAAACCCTCTTAAATTTTGAAGGAAGAATCATAACAAAACAAATAACTTATGATGAAAAACTTTATTTTTAAACTTTTACATTTTTTTTAAGATAAAAAAGGTTAAAAAGTATATTCTTTCCATTTAATTTAAGTAGATTTAATCTCTGTTTAATATAGTTGTAGTTTTAAATTTTAAATTTTGGTTTTTATAAATTTTCAACTAAGAAAAACCAAAACTAAAAACTAAAAATTAAAAATTTCTTTAACACAAATATTAATATTAATGTTGAAAACTAAAAATATTTATTAGTTTAATAGCAAGAATTATTTTTGTTCTTAGTTTTCTAAGAATCATAATAATATGTTACAAAAATACATTAAAATAAATGAGTTTTTTATTTAGAGTTGTAAAATTTTAAAAAACCAAAATAAAAAACTTAAAACTACAACTACAATAAACACAGCTTTAATTTTCTAATTTGGGATCTAAATTTAGCTATTTATTATTTGTTTTTGGGATGTCATTAATATATTTATTTATATTTTACTTTTATTTTTAAAAAATAATATAACATAAATTAAGAGTCCTTTTGGTATGGGGTTGGGGTATCATTTAGTGGATAGTTGTTATTGCGCAAATCGCTAGACAATAGGTATTTGACAAATTTGTTTATTTTGAAATTACTATAAATTAGATGCTTAATAAAATTTTTTATTTAATAATTTAGAAGTAGTGAATAGTAATTAGAATTTAAATCACTAATAGATTGAAAAAAATCACCTCTGCTTGTTAGGTATAATGGTTTTGAAGTAGTTGTTGGCAATTTTATTCAAACCACTATAAGATAGTTATTGGTAAATTTTTTTTTTATTTCAAAACCCCTACAAATATAGTATTTGGTAAACAAAATTTTTAGTAATTTAAAACTAACAAATAATATTTAAGGTTTAAACCGTTAGTAAATTGAAAAAACTATATTAAATAGCTCTTTGTATTGAATCATTATCAGATCGAAATTTTTTAATTATACTGACAAGTTTATCCATTTTAATTTTTAAAATTTTTACCATAGTTTTTAATTAGTACTTATATAATTCATTTTGATTTCACATTTCTTTTCAATATTATTAAATAATTATTATATTTATAAATTTATCCATTTTAATTTTTAAATTTTTTA